AATAATAATACCTTGGTGGATTATTTTAAGGGTTAAATGAGATGATAAATATAATGTATTTCAAAGAGTGCTTTGAGCATGCTAAGCACTAAATAAATATGAGTTAATACTGTACATCAGTGGTTCACAGCAGGGATCAATTTTGCCCCCAGGGGACATTTAGCAATGACTGGAGACAGTTTTGATTGTCGTGACTGGACCTAGGGAGGAGGCTGTTAATGGCATCTAGTGGGCAGAGGCCAGGGATCTTGCTAAACATTCTATTCTGCACCGGGCAGCCCCCAGAACAAAGAATTACATGGTTCAAAATGTCAACAGTGCAGAGGTTGAGAAACCTCGTTATACATCAGTGCTGCTTATTCATCGCCATTCTACTTAACTGCTAATCCTACTAGCAGTGAAAATAAAGTATCATCTGGAGTGAGACCTGTCTGTGAATGCTGTTCAGTACCTGGGAAAATACGCTGTGTGGGCAGGACTATATGTTGCTGAGGTGTCCTTTCAATGCTTGATAAGGTATAGACTAACATGTCTCCCACACCCAGCATTTCTTTTTTTTCTTTTTTTACATCTTTACTGGAGCATAATTGCTTTACAATGGTGTGTTAGTTTCTGCTCTATAACAAAGTGAATCAGCTATACATATACATATATCCTCATATCCCCTCCCTCTTGCATCTCCCTCCCACCCTCCCTATCCCACCCCTCTAGGTGGTCACAAAGCACCGAGCTGATCTCCCTGTGCTATGCGGCTGCTTCCAACTAGCTATCTATTTTACCTTTGGTAGTGTATATATGTCCATGCCACTCTCTCACTTCGTCCCAGTTTACCCTTCCCCCTCCCTGTGTCCTCAAGTCCATTCTCTATGTCTGCATCTTTATTCCTGTCCTGCCCCTAGGTTCTTCAGAACTTTTTTTTTTTTGGATTCCATATATATGTATTAGCATATGGTATTTGTTTTTCTCTTTCTGACTTACTTCACTCTGTATGACAGTCTCTAAGTCCATCCACCGCACTACAAATCACTCAATTTCGTTTCTTCTTATGGCTGAGTAATATTCCATTGTATATATGTGCCACATCTTCTTTATCCATTCATCTGTCGATGGACACTTAGGTTGCTTCCATGTCCTGGCTATTGTCCAACATTTCTAGTGATAGGACTTTATCCCATAATGACCAGGGAGGTTGATGTCACATTATACGTGAGAGAGAGTTAATTATAGGCTAACTTACAGTCGTGAAAATTGGAACTAACCTAAATATCCAACAACAAGGGATTATTTCAATAAGTTATGGTAGACACTTAAAATTAAATACTAAGACATTGCTAAAAATTTGTACTTAGAAAAAGAGTAATCTCATGGAAAATATGTATAATACACAAAGTGGAAAATACAGGTTACAAAATACTTACAGCATCAGTCTCATTTTGTAAGGGAAAAAAAAAATGTGTCTAGCTACCCAGCTGTGAAGAATAGACCTCAGTATTTTACCACCGTTTATCTCTGGGATGTGGACTAATGGGTGACTTTGGTGGGGGGATTTTTATAAAATTAGATTTTATATAGTGCACAAACATACACATATATTAATATAATTACAAAATTAATAAGTGCCGTATACAAGGAGAAAAAAGCATACTATGCCACAAGTCCTAATTCAAAAGTGAGCTGATGTCTAGTTTGGCTCCTGGTCTAGAGCATGATGGCTCCAAGGGGACGCAAATCACTAGACTTATCTCTAGGTACCTGGTATCATGTTGAAGCTGTGTATTAACCTTTTGATGTGCATTGCATTCCTTTTTAACTAGGGAAGGTATTTTTAGAAAACCTCTAATTACAAAGAACTGGAATTACAAATGAGAAGGTCTGTTTTTTTTTTTTCCCCCTCGTAGGATGATTATCATGAATTCAGCATCTGATTATTTAGATTAAGTCTTTAGGATATTTCATGAGTGCCTTACATTTTTTGCCAAGGGAACAAAGAAAGAAACTGAGGAAAACATCTCACTGTGGTTTACATAACATGTTTGAGGTTTACTAATGAAATCGGTTTACCTTCATAACGGTATAATAGGGCCATTACAGACAATAGATACAGTAGTTTAAAAGTAATAAAATTTACAACAAAGTGTATTTAAGTTGAGATTGAATTGCCAGCAAATGTGTGTCCTAATGAACTCTTGTGTCAGTGTAGCTCTAACTAAATTAAGGAGAATCATTTCTATCCCAGGAAACTAAATCAGCTGTGAGATCCAAAAAGGCCATTCCTCTGGTGGGGGGACTGTCATTGTCACAGATGGCCCTGCTGCTGGAACTAGGCTTAAGTCAGGAGAAGTGAAATACAAGATCCTTCTTAATTCGAATGAATTTGGAAAAGCAGGGGAATGCTGGCTGTTAAGACTTGTGAAGCTAAGGGAAAAAAAAAAAAAAAAGAGAAGAAAGAAAAAAGAGTTGATAAAGAAGAACCTCAGATCAAGTTAGTAAATGTTAATAGGAGGAAAAAGCCTGGGGAACTTTCTGAGGGTAGAAATAGATCTTGATCTCTGGACATTGCATTAAAAAAAAAAAAGAAAATGATTATGTCATATCAGCTATTCATCTATTTAAATAATTTTCCCCATAGTTTCTCCAACAAGTTATAAGATTGAAAGGGCAGTGGTAGAAAATGAAGTGGTAACATATTTTATCCAATTTCTGATTTCTGAAACAAGCCATATTTTAATTGTTGGGACATCAGTAGCTCATATAGTGAGTCATACTTTATAGGGTCTCATTTCAAAAACTACTCACCTCCCGACTTGAATCCACTGCAGCATCTGTGATGTGTTTCTCTAACTCCCAGTTATTCTGAGAAAACATTTAAGGGAAACATCAGATTGTGCAGTGGTACCAAAGGCAAACCTTTTTATTATCCTGCATTGTCAATTTCTCTTCCTTATATCTCCCCTCTTCCTATACCTGCTGCAGAGCTCCAAGTCAACCAGTAATTGCAGACCTAAATGTTTGTAAAGAAGGCAGCGTAGCCAAGCTTGATATCCTCACAGAAGTAACCCACCAATCAAAGGGAGCAGCATGGCCTTGGCTGTGCTGGAAGGTGAGGCTCTTGAGACTTTTTTCCTCTGATGTAATAAGTTAAGTCTAAGATCAATTTCATCGACTCACTTTCCTGTTGTGCTTTTCTTCCCATAGGACCCTTTAGAGAAACAGAGTTCTATCAGGTCTTAGTAACTAATTTTGAGAATTCTAGGCTAAAATTGAACAGCTAAAACGCTCCAGTGTGAAGCCACTGGAATTCCTCAAAACGGTGTCCATGGAACCAGGCTGGGTTCTCACTAGACAATGGGGCAGACTTGACACCATGCAAATGAGACAAGGCTTGAGATTTGATGAATCTTCTATCTCCTTTCCCTACTTGGCTGACACTTGCTCTGAGGAAGGTTGTAAATGCAGGAGAGATTGTGGTATAATTCCTCAGACTGGCCTTTCTGCCCCCTAGTCACCATTCGATTATCTTCCAAATTGCTGTGTTTCAGAGAGATAAAGATTTTTTATGGCTTGCTGACTGGAAACAATGACAAGAGCCTGCAAAGAGATGGCTGAGGGGCCATGCATTCCATTGGTAAATGACAAAACCTTTGTTTGTATGACATTTCCAAAATTACTGCAGAAGATGAATCTAAAATACAAAATGTCACATTTGGCATGCAAAACTGTCACAGTATATCTCAGTATAAAATTCATAGAGGCATTTAATTTAGAATGTGTTTAATAACTCAGTCTGCCTGCATCAGTAATCCTGCCTTGAGGTTTAAAGAGATTGTCTTGTTTATTCACATGGTGTTAAGTTTTAAAATATTTTTGGAAATCAAAATACTAAGGTTAAGTCTCTATTGTTAATTAAGATTTTCTAATTAAACCAAAAAATAATTGTTATTCTGATTAATGTTTAAGTCTGCGTTGTATGAAGAAACAAAAGAAGTTTAGCAACTTTCACTGTTGGTTTAACTGTGATTTGATCCTAGAAGCATACTGTCTATATCGAAATATATATTATCTCTCACAAAGTAAAGTCTAGGCAGGATTAAAAAGGGCTTACTGTTAACTGCAGATTAATGGGTGGTGCTACCAACACAGGTAGTTAGGAGAGTAACCTGATTCCAAAAATGACATTAATTTTGTTTAAAGCATGATGTAATAGAGAATTTTTCAAGGTCAAATTATTCTGAAGACTATTAGGGTAGAAAACATGACTTTCTGACATTTGAGTTATTAATAATCCCAGTTTAATTTTTGTGTATTCTGAAATAATATTCTACTAAAAACCTTATCAATTTGTACCTACTTTTCAACATTTACCAAAAATGAATGGCCTATTTGTCCCAGCTGAAGGTAAGCAAAGAAATTCAAATGTCCTGTAAAATATTCTTCAATCATATACTTCAGTTACATGCAATTTATGCCAAGTTTTAGGTTAAAGCACATAGAAATGCTCTTCTTTCTTTATTTTTTGAATCTCACTTGAAGCCTGTGGGGCAAGGTGACCTCATGTTCAAATTAAATACAAGTATTTGATCAGGTGAGGTGTTAGTCTGACCTGTTTTGCACATCACTAGTCAATGGGGTCCATGGTCTGTGATTAGTATGAGAGGTAAGGGCTGTCACTTTTCAAGCCTACTGCCCACGTTCACCCATCCCAGGTATCTTAAGAGGCCCACTGTGTGGTTTTTAGAAGTGTTGGTTTCCTGTTCATTCTATCTTATTATAATAGATGAATGGTTTCTGATGTCACAGATCATTAACATACCACACTTAAAAACTGGCTCAACTTTCCCTCGCATAATCGGTAGGCTTGCCTTTTGACCCCCTAATTACATGTCGTGTGTCCTCCTCTGTTATCACGGCTAATACCTGACAATTACAGGTTGAGTAAAAATAATTGTCTATTTTTCCCTCCCTGAGAAGCACACTGTGGCTAATTGTGTGGTTTTCCCCAGTTCCTGCATCATTCAAGAAATTCAAGAAACCTGTCTTTTCTTTGGGTTGAGCAGAGTCGGTCACCTCAGCCTCTTCAAATACAGATGAAATGCATAAGGGGTCTCAAGAACAAGGCTCCCCAAGGCTCCTACTTCCTCAAAGTGTCCCTGCTTGGTCGACCAGGTGGCCGTGTCTTGCCGTGGTGCCTGACGGAGCAGCTGAAGACCAGAACACACCCAGTGAGGCATGATGGAAATTTTTATGATGTGGGGCTGTATTTCCACGAAAGCCTTTATGTGGTAAGCTGGTCTTTTTGCACACGTACCACTATCTGCTCCTATCTGTCCAGCTTTTCACCTCTAGAGATGGTTTTAGGTACTCAGCTTTGTGTAGTAAACAGAAAGGATTTCATTCATTCATTCAGCAAATACCCAATAAGCACTCAGTGTGAGCCAAGCACTGTGTTGTGGCCGGTACACGGACACCCTTAGTCCTGGGTAAAATGGAATGCCATCCTTCTGTATCAAGATCATTACTGTGGATCCTTGGTATAATTCTTCACCTTTTCAGGATTTACATGACAAGAGGTCACTAACGTGTGTATTTTATGTGCGGTATGTATATACATTTGTAGGCAGCCAGGGACACTGATTTTAGGTGAGAACCCAGATTTAGGTAAGAAGAAATGTTGGAGGTTGTTAAGAGAATAGATTATGGATATAGGGGTATGTGTTTACCAAGCAAAGAGAATCTGGAGGAGACAGTGCTGGGCGAGAGAGGAAGGGGGAGGTAAAATTAGAGAGTGTTCCTGGATGCAGGGATGAGAAGAGGGGGTCCAAGATCTTCAAGTCACCTTTGGAAGGAGAGAGGATAAGCTTAGCTTTCTCTGGGGCATCAGCACCAGACTGATGAAGACAGGGAACTCCAGCCCAAGGAGAAGAAAGGAAGGGGCTGGGTTAGTCCCAGAACCCTTACTGTGTGCTGGTGCATTAGATGCCAGACATGAGGATGGACTGTTTGAAAATATAGAATTGCTTTTTACACTATTAATTTGAAGGAATAAGACAAACATTGTAAGAATCAGTGTATGTAGCACAAGGCTCCCAAGCTGACAAGACTCACTGAGGAACCGAGCCTCAGTTGGCTCATCTGTGAAATGGGAATAAAAATATCTGCCTATCAGAAGCATTACAAAAAATGACTGAGATGATTGTGGAAATACACACTGTCAATACATAGTAAGAATTCAGAAGCTTCTGTGGTTATTATTGTTATAATTATTCTGTCTCTTTGATGGAGAAGCCCATAAATGCTTACCAGGGGACTTTCATTTTAATATATATGATGAATGCTTATATCTTGAACAACTTTTGAATTAACCTTTGCTTGAGAACAATGGTGGTTAACAATTTCTTCTCTAACAAATGATCCCAAAAGCCTTGTTAAGATGTGTGAGATACATGTGAGAGGCGTTAGTCAGGGGTGGGTATGGAGAGGACTTACCCCCTGGGGGAGCCCACTGTCCCCATAGAACCAGACTTTGAGGACAAGTGACACGGGGGCAGCAGATGTAATTCAGCCCCTGACATGATATCTTGGTTTTCACTACTTATATCAGAGAAATTTCAGGAATGTGGTGCTAGCTAAGATTTTAGTTAATAATTTTAAAAAAGGTCTAATCTGTATTTAATGGGCAACTACATTCTTTTGGTATATTTTAATTAAGCACCTACCATTTTAAATCTTGGAGCTAGGCTACCAAATATAGCATTCGAAGAGCTTGCTATCTAGAGCCATCTGCATAAATAGCTCTTTTACATTGAAAAGCACTATAAAATGTTCTTTTTATTGTTATTATTGGTTTAGATGCCCATCCCCAGCTCCCCCCATAGAGGCGTGAACTCTGAGTGCAGAAGCCACGTATATTGCTATGTTAGCTTTGAGCATATTCCATGCATGTTGATGAGTAATCTTAACAGAGAGTACTACAGGTTGAATGTCAGGAGGGATTAGAGGATGAAGAGCTGCATCAAGAATGTCTTCAGGGGCTTCCCTGGCGGCGCAGTGGTTGAGAGTCTGCCTGCCGATGCAGGGGACATGGGTTCGTGCCCTGGTCCGGGAGGATCCCACATGCAGCGGAGCGGCTGGGCCCGTGAGCCATGGCCGCTGAGCCTGCGCGTCCAGAGCCTGTGCTCAGCAGCGGGAGAGGCCACAGCAGTGAGAGGCCCACGTACCGCAAAAAAACTTAATAAATTAAAAATAAAAGTAAAAAGAATGTCTTCAGGGACAGGGAGCAAAACCACTAAGAGACGGATGTTGCCCAAAACTGTTCACAGCGTTGAAAAGCGCATCAAGTCCGTAGGAGAAAGCAGAGGCCGGTTGTTCCTCAAACACTGAAATGCATTTTCCCCTTCCTGCCAAACAGAACAAAAAGTATCTTGGAATAGGTGAAATAACAACCCCAAATTTTCTTTCCCTGTGTCAGAAGCAAACAAACCAAAATAATTACTTCCCGCCACAGCCAAGGAAAATTTATTCTCTAAGAGCCTGACAAAATGTCACTGAATTATATCCATCCCTTGGTATCACCTAGCAAAATCCTGGATCCCCAGAGAAATCTACTAGGGTGTTCCACATTCAGTGTATGTAAGAAAAGTACAGAAAATTCAGGACAAAAACAAAAACAAGAAAAGCACTCTAGAACTTGACAGGAAAGAGAAGTCATCTGATGCTGTTTGATTTCAGAATGAAAATGCTGTTGCTCAAAGTTCTGTTCATTCCACTGGGTTCTGGCAACTTTTTCCACTAACCACACAATTCTGCCTGCCAGCCACTCTGCTAGCAGTCTGTGGGAGACTGACAGGTACAGCAGCAAGGTTTAAAGAAATGTCATTTTCCAATAGGAATAGGAATACACACACAAAAACACACAGATGTGCTTGTGTATGTAACTGATATAGGGGCATCTAAGATATTTACATCATTTCTTTTCATGTACAAGCCTAAGACAGGGTCATTTCTCCGTGAACAGGAGAAGCTGGCTTCATATGGTTGTTTGAGAGTGCAGGACATCTTACCAATGTTAACCGAGGAGAGATGTCAGCTATTCCTACACAGACAGGAAGGACAGAGAAGGTATTGCCCAAATGAAAGGGCAAGTCTTCGTTACAGGAGAAACACTGAGTCTGCTGAGGAAATGTCTGCATTATACGTCTGTAAGGTTACATTCTTAATGGAGCTTGGAATGAGGGTACAATGTTATAGCATCAAAGGTGGCTTCTCTTTGGTATCAAGCTGGACCAGGAGGCAAACAATTGAAGGTTAAGTGAAAAGTTTGCTTATAGGGTTTGATAAACCTCAAAGTGAGGCAGCAGATATATCGATTGGTAAGCCCAAGGTAATAGCCCTCCAAACACCCACGGTCCTACTTCTGATACTATCATTTGGACTTTGTTCCAAACATTTCCACACTTTAACATCCATTTTCCTGTATTGTAAGATGGAGATGTGCAAATATGATGATTTTTGATATTTCTCCAGATGATTTTTGATACTTTCAAGTGAAAAATAGCTGTATTGGCCTTTCTGATTACAGAAGACAACTTAAGCTCTTTGTTAAGAAAATCAGAGAATTAAAAAGACTACAAGTAAAAGTATAGTTTCTCAACAAGCATGTGCTCCTGTTCTGGGACCACATTAACTGAGTTCACACTTACCTTCACTTTATTAGTCATAGCTGTCTAACTATGCAAAGGAGAAGTGGAGTTGATAAATAAATACATAATCACTTCAAACTTAGGAAAAAAATACAGGTAATAGAAGAGTGGTACCAAGTGGCCTCAGCCAGTGCCCTACGGAGCAGATGAGCTACTCTGCTGACTCATCTCTGATTTTCTGATCTGCGTGATGGGGAGATACAGAAAAATGTTGTTTCAAGTCACTGAATTTTGGAGTAGTTTGTTATGCAGCAATAGATAACTGAAGAACTTATTTAGCCCCTTCTGTGACCAAGCACTACATCGAGAGTTGGAGAAATAAAGTCAGGGCTGTCTTTTTAAATTGCTTGGGTAGCTTCTGCAAATACAACCTCGTGTGCTTAAGGAAAAAGAATCATTATGTGTCTAAATTCAGAGTTGGTTCACCCAAAAGGCATTTGAGTCCTGTGTGCAATGTCTTGTCCTTTAGTTATGCTGCGTGTATGCGAAAAAGGAGATGTGGGAGATGGAAGTGGATAAATAGGGGGGCTGTTATGGACTGAACTGTGTTCCCCCCAAATTCATAGGCTGAGGCCCTAAATCCCAGTACCTCAGAATGTGACTAAGTTTGGAGACAGGGTCTTTAAAGAGGTAAGGTTAAAATGAGGACATTGGGGTGGGCCCTAATCTAATCTGACTTGTGTCCTTAAAGAAGAGGAGATTGACACAGACACACACAGAGGGAAGATCATGTGGGGACACAGGGAGACAAACCAAGGAGAGAGGCCTCAGAAGAAACCAATCCTGCCGACACCTTGATCTTGGATGTCCAGTTCCAGAACTGTGAGAAAATAAATTCTTATTGTTAAAGTCATCCAGTTAGTAGTACTTTGCTATGGTGGTCCTGAAAAAGTAATAGAGGGGCTCATGAAGGACTGGTGACAATGAATTGTCCTTTTATTCAGTGGGAAAGAAGAAGCAACAATTTGCTTCAACCTTTTAGAATTCAATACGTAAATTTGGCATCATTGAGATAAGGACTAGGGGACTTCCCTGGCAATCCAGTGGTTAAGACTCTGCGCTTCCAATGCAGGGGACGCGGGTTCGATCCCTGGTTGGGGAACCAAGATCCCACATGCTGTACAGCACAGCCAAAAAGAAAAAAAGAAATAAGGCTTCCCTACTGTAGTGGGTTTTGGCTAATTGAATGGCACATATAGGCACCTCAGAAGCTCCAGAGAAAACCTGACTTAAACTCACTGTGTTATCGGACTCTTTCATGGTTCTATAGAATTTTAAGAAGTATATCAACCAGTTACTATTTATACATCAGTGTGGCAAGGTATCATTATTATAGTAGTAGATGGGCACCATTTTTGTTTTACTGGAGGGAAATCCAATATGAATAAAATAGCAACTTTTCAAACATGACATTTAATCCATGCAGGTAAATCAGACTGAGAATCTATTATTCATTATTACAAGGGTGGCATATTTTTATTACACTGAGAATGAAACACAAATACTGTGAAAAATTTAGTGCCTTTTCTTGAACTTTTAAGACACTTATCATGCAGTCATCTAGCTGGTACTGGCACCCATTT